AATACGGCGACGGATAGCTAGTAGTGGCTAATATGAATGTTAGCAATGAATGTTTAATGAAAATGTATTAATTAGCTGCTTTGAAGTTTAAGATCGATAAAACAGTTGAAGCCAAAGACACATTTTTTGAGGGAATGGTTACTGTTTGAAAATCGGACCATTCGATGAAGCAATTGAGGGCCAAAGACACATTTTTTAAGGGAATAGTTACCGCCTGAAGGCAGGATCCTGGGACATATATGGCTACAAGAAACCACATCATGGGGCAATTTATGAACATGGGGTTTGTGGAGGCATAGACACGTGGAGTTAACTGACAGAAGTTACTTGGAGATTTATAACCACTGAAAATTGTCGGAAGGTAGTTACCACAAGCCATTATAAATACCGCCAATCAACCATCAGAAGCCCCCTGCGTACAAATCAAACCAAAAGTTATTTTTCAATTATCTTCATGTATTACACTTTAACTTTCCTTAGTTATAGCTTTCATTTACGCTTCATTGATTAAATTCCGACATGTATTTTTATTTCGATGCTGCATCGTCGATTAAATTCTGGTGTAGTATCTTTATGTTATGTGTCGTTGATTAAATTCTGACTTAGTTTGCCTGTATCACGTTATGTCATCGAGTCTGTAATTTTCAGGCCTTGTCGACGATTAAATTCCAGCTTGGTTTGAGATTGTAAAGTGTCGTTTGAATTGGAGAGGTTGATGCCCTTTCGCATAAGATATTCTCTGTCCGAAATTAGCATAGGACCCTAATTTCTTCACATTAAAAGATGAAGAACTACTTTCGGTTAAAGATCTTTTGTTGTTCTGTCGTGTGAGCAATTATGATGAAACATCTTTTTGGCATGCCTGATGGGACCAGCGCTACTAATTGGAGAGGATACTATGCCACATACTGTGAGTCAATCCAATTCTGATAATGCCGGTGGTAGTTCTGCACCGCCGCCAACTAGTGAGAGAACAGGACGCGCCGAGTTATCAATGGCGCCATTAGTGTTGGATTAACTAGAGAACGAGGATGTGGTTATTCCGAGGCAACTTACTGAAGAACAGAGGAGGCAAATGGAGCCAAGTCCAGTGATGTTGTTTGCTATGAGGAGAATGCTGAAGGAGCACCATAATAAGTTGACAAATCACACGACAGAACATTTTGTAATTAGGCCCTTGATTGTCAATACCTACCGCGAGTGAGTGCAAGGGCGGCATAAAACGTTAAGTAATTCAACTCGGCCTCTGGCCAGCCACGTCGCTACTGTGTCTACCGGGTATGATTCCTCACCTCCTACTCAAATTACTTTTGGCACTGTTGGGCGGATCATTCTGCCTCCACTACCAATTAGGATCCTACAAAGGAGTGAAACTATTTATACAACCCAGACCTAAGGGCCGATGCTGACCAATGGAAGCAATCTCCCGAACCCATGTCAAAGCGGCGAAGTAGTGGGTGTGACCAGACCTTTGGGCCAATTTTGACCAACAGGGGTAATTTACCTAATTTACTTGTGGTCGGTTTCACAGGGAATGATATCGGTGGTTTGGTGAACTAAATCCTCAGCACAATGCACCATTGCCAGCTTTTGAGATGAACGACCACTTGGTGCTATGCCTCAACCCAACCTCTCACCTATCCCTAATGCTACCATCGACAACCAGGGTGCACTTCCAATCCCACCTAGGGGCAGAAGATTCCATAACCAATACAACATCAACCAACACCACAACTACTCCCACAAAATGTTCCACTTCCATTTCCGCAACAGATTCCACAACCATTGCAATATTAACCAGTACCACAAATACTCCTACAAAATGTTCCACCTCCATTTCCGCAGGAGATTCCATAACCATTCCAACATCAACCAGCGCCACAACTACTCCATTTCCGAAGCAGATTCCACAACCATTACAACATCAATCAGCGCCACAACTACTTCCACAAAATGTTCCACCTCCATTTCTGCAACAAATCAAACAGCCATTGCAATACATATAATAAGCTTTACCACAACCTGTTCTTGGAGCTCAACATGTCGTAGCCCCTACTACATTCGCTCCTAGTCAAAATCAGTTGGTGATAGATTAAGTGATGCGACAATATGGATGTGATATGGGGTACATCAAGCCTGTTTACAAGAAACCGTATCCAGGCTAGATGGATGCGATACCTTATCCAAGAGGTTTCAAGATTCCAGAATTCTCTCTTTTAATTGAAGAAGATGATCAATCGATATATCGAACATGTTAGCTGGTTTATCACATTACGTGGTGATGCTACGCACGGAGATCTTTGGAAATTACAACTATTCCCATTATCATTGTCCAAAACTGTTTTCACAAGGTACACTGCATTACCAGTTTCAGAGAGCTATTTCATTGTCAAATTCTTTTGGGAGCAAATGGAGAGGATGTTTCATAATCAGTTTCAAAGAGCTATTCAATTATGTCTATGGCAGATTTGTCAATAGTGAAGCAGCAAAACAACAAATCAGTGGATCAGTTTATATCTCGATTCAAGAAAGCACAAAATTAGAGTCTTGTGCCATTGCTCGAGAAAATTTTTGCAGACTTGGCTTTTAATGGATTAAAATTTGACATAAGGGAAAGAATACTAGGACAACCATATTATAATCTTTTTCAATTAGCAATGGTGGCAATCAAACACGAAAGTCTGATAAAGGAAAAGGACAAAAGACAAGGTAGGCAAAGTGATGTGAAGTTCATCGATGGGTTGATCTCGATGACGATATGAATCAAGCAGAAATTGCTGAGATAGTTGCGGCTAAAATGGTGATCGCTAGACCATACACATGCTAAGCTCTAAAGCCGGCAAAGACAAATGAGAAGCTGAATATCATGACTAAATAGGGTAGATGTATTTTTTTTTTTAGCCGAAGGCCTAATAAAACTGACTGAAGGGTAGGTCATACCAAGCAAAGAAGAATTAGCGGGCAAGAAACACTACAAGTGGCATCATTCTTGAAGCCACAACATTGTCGATTGTATCATGTTTAAGAAAAATATTCAAGGGGCAATTCGACAGGACAAAATTAAGTTTGCAGGTGAGAAATAAAAAGCTCCCATGGAGGTTGATGTTGACCCATTTCCCATCATGACTGAAATGGTGTCTGTAAAGTCCAAAGGCAAAAGACTACGGCAACCGAATCTTTGTGCTTGATGCAAGTAAGAGATTGATCAAAGCTATTAATCTTAAGGGAAAACTCCACAAGCAAGAACTTCGATCCAAGATACTAAGAGTGGCTGTCGACAAAGTTTCGTTAATCGCCCTAACACGGTCAATCAACGGAGTCACCCTAAAGTGTTGAACTGCGTTATTTACCCAAGGGGCAACCACTAAGGAAGAAATCATTCAAACAATGGTACGAAGATGGAGATCCTATTATAGGCATTGAAGAACCTAGTGGTAAGTTCAAAAACTACGTTAGTTACAATCCACCCCCTTCGTATCCTTGCGACGTCACCCCTTCTAGGTGGGGAAAGGAGTTTGATGAGTCTCTTGAAGATATTAGTTCATCGGTATTGTCTTATCGTCAATGGATAATGAAAATACCATACGTCCCACCAGAGGATTAGGGTGCGTATGGTAACGTTTCTATTTCTGGGAACAATTTCTTTTCAGAAATAGTTTTTTCTATTTCTATTTCCTGGAAGAGTTTCTGAGCAAAATAATGCGTTTGGTAACTGCACAAAATTTCTATTTCTAGAACAGAAATGCGTTTGGTAACTGCACAAAATTTCTATTCCTGGAATAGAAAAAGAACAGAAATGCGTTTGGTACAACCAAAAAAATTTCTATTTCCAATTTTTTTCATTCAAGTTTATATCTTTTATTTAAGTGTAAGTACAAGTTATAAATGAAAAAAACCAAGAAGCATTGTTTATTGGTTTGTCTAATCCTTTTTAACTCACACTACTTTATATATATATAAAATTAATTATCGTAATCTTTTTATTATTCTGAATACCATATTTATCTATTTCAAAAGTTTCTTCACAACCGCTATTATAAATACTATTTATTCTCATATTAAATTACCAAAAGATAAAAAAGAATGCTTACATCTTAACCATGTGTTAATTGTTTTTTTTACCAATAAATAAACAAAACAAGAACTCATCCTACGAATGTGAAGAACTCTCTAGGTCAACATTGACAGTGCTATAATATACAACAGCTGACGTCACTAATTTTTGTCACTTAAGAAGATTATACATTTCTTTCTCTTTATGAACTCTTTCCTATGATGCATAGAATTCTTTGCCACTATATATATATATATATATATATATATATATATATATATATAAAGAACATTCGAAACTCCATATACGACATTATAATAACACGTGGATGATGCCGATTTTAGTGGACGCTTGAATATGATCCATTCGATTTTTTAATCACTTAAATAGTCACAGTAACTTTGAAAATTGATTTATATAGACATGAATCCTTAATTTTCTTATAATGATTAAGTTTACAAAATCAATTTAAATTTGATTGTGACTTATATATATAAATATTTACATCTTGTTTTCATCCAATAAAATTGAACATGTAGGTGAAGGAGTAGTCTTCATTTGCAGCAAGAAAAACGTAGTTGAATGCCAACACTCCAAAGAGATTCTCTATACTCCTAGTACTAAAATATCCCATCAACTCATGCTTTGCCAAATATTCAAAGCTTGCCAAATCTCTGTTTGAAATGCTGCACAGGCTTTGGATTTAAAAAAATACAACGATAATAATACTTGCTAATTAACAAAATGTTGCCAAATATTTATAAACAACATAACAAAAGTCAGAAACATAAAGTCATGGAATCTCAGGCATATTGTGATTCCTTGCCATTTGATTTGCAATATTTTTCTTAAGCATGTTCATCTCAACTGCCTTCTCATGCCACTCATCTGCATCCTCCACTTGTGTAGGTCCAAATGGGTAGTCCGGATCTCCATATAGGGAAAAAGGCTCGGTCCACTTTGCATTGAATACCTCTTTCTGTGATGCCATTTAACCTTCACTAGTTGAGCATCATATGAGCCATGCATTAAATCATACCATAGTCATATAGGAATTACACGCAATACTACATTAAATCATAACATTGTAACCACCCAACATTGGCCACCACAGTTGCCCCTAGAAAGGAATTAAAATGGAAGTGAATTTCATCAAATAGGATTTCTATTATTGGCAGCCAGAAAATGTAAGTGCCACATGGATACTCAGCCAACATTTTCCATCTAGTGTCATGAAAGAACCAATTCAACAAGGCAGAATGACGAGTGACATTAAGAATTTCCACATTTGAACCTAATAAACAGATATTGTAATCACTTCTGCAAATTAGTATATAATCCTTGTAAGAAATTCTTCAGGATGAAGCATGTCATTCCATAAGACCTCATTTTCCAGATGATTATCCGGCTAAAGGACATATAAAGAAGCACAAAAGTTACCACTGTTGCCGTAGTTTTCCAGCAAGAGGATCTAGTTGCTCTTGCTTCTCCACTTCAACTGTTTTCCCCTTCTTATCAGCTACTTTTGCCACAGACTTCTTTAGCTGCAGGTGCCTGAGCTCAACAGGCAGCAAGTACCAATTTAATCAATGCAAAGTTAATCTGAGGAGTTGAACAGAACAAGCATCACAAACAAATTTGTCCTCTATAACCCTTCCTCTTTGTTCTATTTTCCTCCAAAAACCACACAAGAAAAGACTGATAGACACAAGAAATATCATGCTTCACAGGGAGAATCCAATCAAACAAACCAAGTGCAATTGAGACAAGGAATAATGTAGCGTCCATACACAAGAAATATCATTCTTTATTTTTTTTTTCAGTTTTAGTTAATCAAAATGAAAGATCACCATTTCCACATAATCACATCCCAAACCCACCCACAAGAAAATGCTCAACAAGAGAAGCATATATACTGTGCTTCTTATCTCATTCAAATCATTCCCCTGGAAACTTACTAATTGACATTCAGATGAGATGGACATACATTTCAAGATTAACAGGCAGCAACCTTAAAGAAAACAATAAATAGCTATTTAACATTTTGCCTGGAGCAATAAGAAGCACAGTGGCCCATAATATTTGGAGGGAGGAATGGAGGGAAATGAAGGGAGGCCAGACAACAAAGGGAAAGTTGACACAACAGAATAACTTGATTAGCATCTGGAAGTCTTCCTTCGTTTGGAGAAACTTTTTAATCCTACAGGTAGAAAAAAACTTAGTGAATAAGGCACTCGTAAGAATTATCTTGCTCACATGCAGCTAAAACATAGTACCTTTCTTCCGGGAACAAAGTCGACAGTGGGACCTCTAGTGACTTCTACTGCAACAACTCCTGCTAGCTGAAACAGGCATTTCGCTCATAATGATCAATACTTGCAAATTGATAAATCATTTTTAATAGTAACCACTAGAATCGATCAGCTATATATAACATCATCCAACCACTAATCAACCAAGAACAATACCAGTTGAACTAGACAGAGGAGATTTCCTACAAGCAACTGAGAACTAAATGCCCAGGGGATTGAAAACAAGATAGATAAAGATTTGCTCTTAAAGCATCTGAATATGGAGAATATGTGGGTTATGCCAATTAAGGGCTTCCATACGTGCATGCACATTAGTTTTAAAGATGTTGCATGCTGGAGGGAATAAAACTTCAAAGTTAAATGGCAAGAATTCGAAGTCTTTTTCAAACTAAGCTAGTCATATCAACAGAGATTTCGTCCACCTATTGGGAGAGGCGACTCGTAATATGTAAGATGGAAGAACAAATCCTTTAAACAGTCTTTTCACCTGGTATAGATCTACGTATGTAATCTTTGGACACTTGGACTTCACCTCCTCTGTATCCAACAGAAAAGCAAATGTAAATATACTGACTGAAGTTATATCTCAACTCCATTCACAAAAAAACTCGATTCATCAAAGCTATGACATTATCCATGATGGGTTCGTACAGTTGTATAATTGAAACTCTTATAATCATAACATATCTACAGGGTAACTCATGTAAAACATATGCAAAGGTCTTAGAATTTCCTTGGTCGACAATCATGGAAGCATTAGACTGAATACTAAACCACCCATCTTAAGCATGCTCTCATAAACTGAACATAAGATAATACATATACCTCAACTTTATGAAGACTGTAGGGATTTCTTTAAAGAAAGTATCAATGTCTAAAGCAACAACTATCTTCATGCATTTTATACTGATGAATATTGGAAATATATCTAAATTTGGTTAGATGAACCTAACACTATGCCACAGGCAAGTAACAAAAGTAAATCAGAGTACGCAGATTAAATCCCGTTGATAAGTCCAGAGTATAACGTTAAGCCAACTAAAATTGCAAACGCTCTGCTTGGCCCTTCAAGAACTTGTAAGTACATAGCATCATGTTAACAAACTTGTTAACCGTCTTCGACATAACAGACGACGCGCCCCGCACGTGTGCACTAAACATCGTAAGATGATTAAGTCAACCATTACTCATCAAATGACACACAACATAGGCAAAAGCAACTCCTCCCACAGCAGCAAATGAAGGAAAGCTATAATTGAAGTATTAGAAGACATACGTCCATGGAAATTGGACTCTCAAATCTCCATGTACCTACATATATTTAGTATCAAACGAGCATGCAACGGGACTCGCACAATCACAACCTACAATTGCATGCTCGTCCTCCAAACTGCCGTCGATGCATGAATAGATGAACTCCAGAAACTACTTCAGGCACGGATGTCGAAGAGGCGTAGACACCGCTCCGCCAAAGGAATCAACACCGCGAAGGCAGAGAAACCTAAAGGCAGGTAGCTCAGAAAGAGCAGGGAGCGCTCACCACAGAAATCAAGAGCGATCTTCAAGCCAGCATTGGCACCGTGGGAGTACTCTTCCTTGTTCCGAATCGAGCCGTTCGGACCGGCGGTCTTCGTCCTCGCGTCGTAAGTCCCGGCGTCGTGCCACCTGCAAAGACGAATCGCCAGAAACCGCCAGACATCAGAAACCGCGGGGGCTAAATCCGATCGACGGACGTCCGTCGCCGGCCAATCGAGGCGGGGACGGAACCGTAATGCGCGTAATCGGGAGCTCGAGACCCTCGAACCGGGAACAAACACCACGCCGGCCCTCGAGGGTATTCGGTTGCTGGCAATCTCGCGCGGGGCGTTCCAGCGAGCGAGCGAGAAGGAAGGCCGGAATTGCACCTCTACCACGAGTGACGGGGGTGGTGGCCGGTGCTCTGCAGACGACAGATGATGGAGGAGCCGAAGAAGCCGCTGCTCGAAAGGAAGAAGAGGTAAGAAGTAAAAATTTTAGGGTTTACATAACCCTTTTTACCTTTCTATTTCTATTTCTATTTCTGTGAAAAAAACAAGTAGATATTTTCTACTTCTTATTTCTGCTTCAAATCTATTTCTTGATCACTTTTTTATTCCTGAAAATAGAAAAATAAAATAAGTTACCCAACAGGTTTCTATTTTTTTTTTGTTCTAGAGAACAGAAAAATAGAGAAACAGAAGCGTTACCAAACGCGCCCTTAATGGTTCGAATCTGGAGAAGTTCGAGGACTAAGGGACAATATAGCAACAAGGGCCACAACCCCTAGACAAAGTTCAATGGCGAAAGTTGGACGGGAGGCGAAAGTCACCTCAGTCCGACGGGGGCGCAATGGCAAGTGGTGACGTCAGAGGCCAATGAATTTCGACAGCAAAAGTCGGCGAGGTACGATGGAAGCACTGTGCAAGAGGATTCAGGAGAGCAAGCGACGGCAATCGACAACGATTGAGCAACTGCGACAGTGAGGGAGGACTGTCAAAGGGAGAGGTGCGATAGTGACCAAGGGTTGAACATGACAGAACGAAGGGCACTGTTTTTTGTTGAGCCGTGGAACGACATCGTTTTGGGACTATTGGTGCAACGTCATTTTTGTTGACCCATGAAACGGCATCGTTTTGGGACCATGGTGCTACGTTGGATGAAGCGGTGTCGTTTTGCAATTCCACGTGGATGGGATTTTTTAAATATAATGCCAACTCATATAAAAAAATTCAATTAAAAAGGCCACGTACTAATTTTGACAGGAATTTCTCGCTGTTGTCACTTAAGTGATCGTCTTTTCTTCGATTTGGCATTAAGTGATTCGGCAAAAACTTTTGGCACTAAAGTGAGTGCCGTACATAACTTTTGACACTTCTAATATTCTCCCTAGATTAAAATGCTCCGAGCCAAAGTTCATGTAATTTGTCATTGAAGTTTTCAAGAACTCAAAACCTTCAATCAATTTGGAAGTCCAGGAGGGTGCATCTCAGTTCTTCACAATGGCAAGCGGTGTGCCTCCTTACGTCCTCTACACCCCCACCATTTTGTTCTTACCATGGAGAGTCCATCCTCTTTGCAAAGAGAGCCTGTGGAACTTTTCAGAGTGGGCACGTGAATCATTTGAACCGATGTACCCGATATTGCCGTAGTTCTACTTCTACTAGCTCAAGACAATGCCTTTCCTTTTATGAGGTAAAGCTCCCATTCGTTCGCAGCTCAAGAAATCTTAAAAGCTCGAGTCTTTTACCCTCGGCTGAAATCAGAGGGCCTCTGAAATCAATGCCTTTCTTGTTAAGTCTCTGTAGTCTTCTCACTTCTCACATCTTCCTTTCAGCTTCTCTTGCAAGATAGTGTCAATCACAAGCAATGCATCTGGAGGACTTCGCCTACGAGCTCTATCGCCAATAGTCAAGTTGTTCCTTACTACCTTTCGCTTGTAACGTGAAACAAACAAGAAAGAAATCGAGTGTATGACGAACAATGATGGTAAATCAGGATCTCTCTGCCGCGTTCCTCTACTTCGTGCCCTATCCCCTAGAACAAATTATTGTAATTCTTTTGTTGCCAATCAATCGGGAAGACACAAAAAGTCCATTCAAACCAACAATAATAGACATGAAGCTATATCACTTCTGCCTCCATGGGAACTCAATTAAGTCCCCAAAATGGGGCGACCAACGGATATTCCAAGAATTGGGTTGTATGATTATCCACGACAACGAAATTGCAATTGTTTTGCGGCACAATGCAAGTGAGGAACTAAAAACGAGCTTGTTTCTTCAAATAAAGCAGTGGCATTCTTATTATTTCTCATGCACATTCTCTCGAGAAAAACAAGTTGAGCGATTGAACCATACACTGCTGTGACACAAACAGGTTCAGGAGGCCAACTTGTTTTGAAAGGCCATCTATACAAAATCATATTTTCATACCACCGGCATCGTATCTCTTTCAGACAAACCCACCATGTAGCCAAACACCGTCACTATATTTGGCACTGGGATGATTTCAATATAAAAGCGGCTCATGCAGCTTTTACTGAGCCCAAAAGTTGCAAGCTCCCCATAATGTCTTTCCACCTAATGACATTTTCCCGCAAAAATTGACTCTGCTTGGACATTCCCAATGCCGAAGCATTAGTAAAGCTCCATAGATCCCACGTACAGATGCTTCGCCCATGGCAGGCCTCCCAATAAAATGGTTGTCCATCACATGCTTTCTTTACCTGAAAAGACTTGGAGAATTCCTCAAATGATCGCATCGACTTGAAACAAAAGCAATAGCATGCTTTCAAATAAATATCAGTACTCTGATGAGCATAATGGCCCTATTCTTCCGAAATGCTCTTCACAGAATTGCAAACCCATCAGATGAGCAACAGTTAGCCAAAAGCAACTGGATTGAACCCTTATCTGCATGAGCTGGAAGTTACATATATTGGGCTAACCATTGCTTGCACATATCAAGCACAGGGAGTGCATTTGCATGCAATGCCTGCAGAAAAGAGTAGGCATAGCATTTCAGGATCCAAAAGAATAACTGGCTCTCACAAATTCATCAACAATATCAGCAGACACAGCATCAAGCAACGGCAACTGTTGGTAAGTGATAACTTCGACATGTGGGCAGTTGTATCAATTGTAAGTTATGAAATCAAGGTCCGTGAAGATCTCAAAGTGAATTTACTTTGAATTATGGACAAATGGGCATTCATGCATCTGAGCTAGTTCAAGCCTATACGTCAAAACCTCCTTTTCCATGGAAAAAGGAAAAGGAAAGAAAAAGGAAGATTGAGATGCAACACATGGATCAATGATTAGCATCAAAATTCTTAGACATGAGCAAGAAACCAGTGCTCTGCACAGGAAGATCTGGATTGAACTATGTCTTTCAAAGAATGCAATTACCAATGTTGTAAGATGTGCAAAATCAGCCATGTGTGTATTCTTGTACCAATTTTTATTGCTATTCGTCATCCTTCTTTTTTTCCCCCACATTTCGAATATGATTTATTTCATGATCTTCGACCCGCTAATAGAATGATAAGTAACAAGAGCTCTTCCAGTATCGCTTATTGATTTCATTAGACACCTTTCATCTGATTTTTTTTTACTTATATCAGTTTACCTCGGCAAAACGAAAAACTATACGTGAAACAAAAATAAACTTTAAATCAGAAGCACTCCTTGCCCTTGCTTTTAAACTGTGAAGATTGACTTGCTCTTCTAACAATAAAAATAATCAATCTTGCTCCTCTAACAATAAAATAATCAATCATACTCTGTGAAATGATAGTTTAATATCCAATTTTTTCTACTGCTTTTGGTAATCACTTTCCTTCGTCTGATTGGGATAAAGGGAAAATTATTCTTTAGACACAAATATCTAGACTGCAGAAGTTTCATTGAGTTAAAAAGTATTTATTGGATCACTTTTAATCTGGTCAATTAGTCTATCAAATCTTTGCTGTTAATTTCTTAACCTTGGTAATGCCATATTTGATTACCTAGGATTCTCAAATGTAGGAAATTTTAAAAAATCCTCTTAAATAAGGTTGGTTATATCAAAAGATATCTCCAGGGTCAATATTAGTTAATTACATTTGGGCTTCTGTAATATTCTGAAGTAATATGGAAGAAATAAAATAAATGATGGACGCTTCTAATTTGTGCTATCCTTTAAGATATCCGTGACTTTTTTTTCATAGTTAACAAAGGATTTTATAAAATAAAAATTTCAAATACATCATAAACGTACAAGGAAGGAAAGAAGGAAAAAAAAGGAAAAAACATCACAAGACTACAAGAAGTTAGAGCAAGATGTCCAAAGCCAAATAAAAGAGTACAAGACAGAAGCAACCGAAGATTCCAAAACCCTCAAACAATCTTTTGTTGTGTTCCTTCCCAAAGCACCACGCGAGACAAAGTGGCGCAGCGCTCCAAGACTTCTTAGACATAGAGCCTTCTATTGTTAACATTCCAACAGCTAAAAAGATGGATGGCATGACTTGGCATTATCCATGCCACCTTAGACAAGGATATGATTCCAAAGCTTAAGAGCAAAGTCACAATGAAGAAAGAGATGATCAACAGATTCCCCAGGATGTTACTTTGATTCTAACATAATGATGATAGGTGGAAAAAGGAAATGAAATCGTAGATGTATTTCTTTGACATACACTAACAGAATATATATTAAAACCCTTTAAGAAATATTCAATCTTAAATTCGCAAAGAAATTAATTTTTTCCAGCATAGAGTGAATAATTAAGAAATTATGAAAGTCCACATAAACTAAAAAAATAATTAATTTTTTTAAAGAAATGTATTGAAAGTATGATGAGTATGTTATACCTGTCAAGACAGTGAAGATTCTCTCAGAAGGAAAAACGAGGGGGAAAAAAGAAGGAAAAAAAAAAGGGAAAGGAATGGAAATATGAAGTGGGACATGAGTCAGCCAAGGAATGGAACACGTCAGCTCCCTACAAGTCCTCTGAGGAGCACAGCATTTCTAAATAGAATATCGATTATAAGGAGAGATCCTCTTCCCTACTAGTACCAATCAAGCATCAAGAAAGAATGCCAGGATCCTTTTCACAAGTTTCGACATGGCAATTAGAAGATGATCGAGCCCAGAATGTCCAACGTACTATAACCCATGAATCACCATGATGTTACTATTTGTCACCCATGCAATACTACAATAAAGAATGTCTTTAACATTTCCAAGGGATAAAAATAGAAGAACTAGAAATGAGAAAAAACTAGGCCTATCAGTTAGAAAGGTGACTTTCTAGTGTGGTGTTAGTCGTGTAGGTGTGATGAAGATACACGAATAAATTCTTGAAAATTTTAAACCTAAATTGAGATGGAAAAAATCACCTGATGTGCTACATATTGCACGTCAGCAACACTTCCACTCCGTGAAGCGATTTGAAATGCACTTTTGAGGCGACCACAGATCACGCAAGCCAGCACCTTTCTGTT